TGCATGAGAGTCAGCGATGAAGGACTTGCTGCGCTAGCCACCGCCGGCGCCGTACATGCGTACGGCACCGCCGCCGCCGGTTTTTCCTCACAGCCTATAGTCCCTCCTGGAACAGCTAGTTCGGATAGGACCGCACCCAATACCGCACCCGATATCGACACGGCCATCACCATCACCATCAACACCACGGATACCAACACCAACACCAACACGTCCAGCTCGGCCGGCGCTACGATCCCACGGCAAAGGCAGGAGTGGGGGTCGGGCCCCGCAGAGGCAGGCGCCGCCGGCGGCGCCGCCTGCAGTGTGACCAGCTATCCTAGGGCCCCTTCCGGCTGCGGCGGTGGCGGCGGCGGGTCGTCCTCCTCCCCGGCCCCGGTGCTGTATCTTCACCTGGACTCGTGCATCAGCGTTACCGACAGCGGCTTGTTTCAGATCGCCAACCTCACGAGCCTGACCTCCCTGCGGCTGACGCGGTGTGCGGCGGTGTCGGATGCGGGGGTGGCGGCGCTGGCTGCCCTGACGCGACTGTGCGGCTTGAGCCTGGCGCACTGCCCGGCAGTTACGCAGGCGGGGCTGCTGGCGCTGTCTGGAATCACCAGCCTGGCGTCCTTGGAGTTTTGAAAATCTGAAAATCCAATTATTTGAGAAAATGAGATATAAGTTGAAACGATGGCTCTGGTTGAAACTCACAAAAAGTTGTTCTTTTTCTTTCTTTTAATATGTCCGAATTTTGAGTTGTTTCAAATGAAGCTGGGGTTTTAGGCATCGTTTTGCAGAAGAACTGGACAGGCGGCGCGCGCGGTCAGGCGGACGTGCTGGCGGGGTGCATTTTGGAGGCTGCGGGGTTGGCGGACAACAAAACTGTAGGGCCTCTAATTTTAGGGTGTTATGGCGCAAGTGTCAGATCACATCACACCACATCACATCACACCTCTTGCCATCCTTAACACCTTCGAAGGACGATATAACACAACGGTATATAGCTGTAGATGTACGGCAACGGTCGTACGTTATCTCCGGGCACTGCGGTCCTCTTCTCGATATGGAAGAAGATTCAGCTTGAAGACCACCAAGATATATCTCCTGGCTGCGATTTCGCGATTTGAGTAAAAGTCCACGAAGGTTCAGTACCGCATAATAGTAAATACGGCTCTGGGAAGGGGAGGTCTGACGCGAGTCCTCGATCACCCCCAAGGATGCATCCCCATCCCCATCACCGTCACCATCACCATCACCATCACCAGGAAAGGCTGGATGTGCAATTCCTTGTCAATACGGAAAAGGGTGAGGGTATATATACCTAGCAACATGGGTGGGGGGCCCCGGTTGGACGTTGCAATTTTTTTGACGCACGCAAATACACGCGTGTAAATACAAATGTGTGGTCTGAGAATATTCTGTGGCGGAATTCGTCGATCCGGGTTTTCCCCACGTGTGCTCTCCCCCGCTTGTCCGCGGGAGGCGGGATCGGCAGGGTCGGCCGCCAAAATCAACCATCCTGTCACCAAAATTTAAAATCCTGTGCTGGTCTGTTTTGTTCTCCGTGTGTGCTTTTGCCGTACGCGAAAGCCACCTGCGCTGCCGTTTGCTTCACAGACCACGCACTACTTGCACAGACCACAACAGTAGGCGAGAAATAGAAAGGAACAACGTGCCCTTGCGCCGTGTTGCAGAGGGGTAGTGGATTTAATACACGTGTGTGTATGTGTGTGTTTGTGTAATTGTTACATGTCTCACTGGCCCTCTACGACCGGGGGAAGCCACCTGGGCCCCCTCTTTTGGTGAAACCGCCGAAGCACTCTTCACATTAGGCGGGGCGTTCCCGTTCGTGTGTGTGTGTGTGTGTGCGTGTGTGTGTCTGTGTGTGTATCCGCGACGGCGGACAATGAGCGCCTACCACCTGCACGGTGCCGCTCGGCCATTTCCAAGTTAGCATAGCATTGTGCCGCCCACTTCTATACATCATATACGTGTGGTCTGTACCCATCCCCCCCATCACACGCAAATGCAAACGTGGTCAAGGCAAAACCAAAACCTCACCCCCCTCTATCTCTCTCCCTCTCTCTCTTTCTATCCCTCCACACCCTTGAATGATTAGTGTACATACATACATACTACGTAATACGTACATGCATACATATTAACCATCGCCATCCTCGCCAGTTCCTTCTCGCTGCTGCTCATACATGGACGCACAATACACATATACGCATACGTATGCGAGCACGCAAACACATCGCACCGCACGCAAGCCGGCAAACCCCAACCGGCAACCCCATTTTACACTCCAGCGCCGAAACCAGACCCCGACGCCGGACGCCACCCTCCTCCTCATCATCATCATCGTCATCACCACCGCCAACCTGCATTAACTCCCGTTCACCTCCACCACACGCGCACGCAGCCACCTCTCCACCTCGCGGTTGGTCCTCTACCAAAACACACACAGCCATCAATACACGGCACAACCAGCCCCCCCTCCCCCTCCTCCCCCCCCCCTCCACCAGAGGAAGCGCGATTTCCAACCCCTGATTGTACGACAGTCGGCGGCGTCAGCAGCGACACCAGGGTGGGCCGCTCCACCGGCGCTCTGTGGAAAGCCGGCAGGCCCTAGCTCGCCGCTGCTGGGGTGGCCCCCTAGCTCGTCCCCCCCCCCAAACCACCCAATTCCACATCCCTCAATCGCTCTTCCACCGACAGGTCGCTTTTGTGGCCTGTTTTGCAACGGCAACGGCCGATATGCGGCCGTGTCCGCCTCCGTCTCCACCTCCGTGTGCACACATACACACACACACACGCACACCGGGGGACAAACCCCCACTCGATCCCCACTAGGACTGACTGACGGACTGACCGACTGACTGACCGACAGACACAGACAGACAGACTGGCTGACACGGAGGGTGTGTATTCGCGTCCGCGCACGTGGACGGAGGTAAAGCGCCTAGTGTTCGCGTTCTCATCACTTGAGTTGAGTACTGGGGACCTCTACATCCTTTATTGCACCCCGCACCCCCCCCGGAGCACCAAACCCCCCGTCCCACCCCACACATACCCTCCACACACACACACACGCGCGCCACCTCACACAACCCCATGTATCTTTCCAGGCTACCCCCACCCCATACCCCCCAAATGCACAACATCGCATCTCCATCGGAGCTTTTTGCATTCTAGGTCCGATCACAGCTTAGCTCGTACAGATCAGGTCGTACAGATCTTCGCCTCAGCGCGCGATTGCCGGCACCTTGCCCCTCAGCGCCATCTGTTGCCGCACTTTCTCCCTCAACGAACTGCTGATGTTGTCGGCGCTGCGAGGCAATGCCATCCACTCCGCCGCCACGCGCGCGCGCACCGTGTCAAAGTCGTCCCACACCCCCTCCAACGGGCCTTTGTCGTACACAACCCGCAGCAAGTTCTCATGGGGTGCAACTTCGGCCGTGTCGGCGGGGAAAACCGTGGGGACGCCATTCACTCGTTTGACTGCCAGGATACCTGAGACGGCGGCGAGAGACGGCGAGTGAGGATTTGGATTTGGAGATTTGGATTAGGATTTGGATTAAGGGGCTCCCCCATTGAATGGGGGAGGCGGAAGGAGGAGGAGAGAAAAAGAGAGAGAGAGAGAGCAAGAGGGAGAAGAGGAGCGAAAGGTTGGGTGGGCTTGGAAGAATCTTTTTTGGAATCTTGGGGGGGGGGGGGAAACGGGAAGGCGCAGGTACCTGCCCCATCACGCCCAGGCGGACAACACTCCCAAGCTCCCCATGCGAGGAGGGCCACCTGAGGAGCCCCGTACGGCTGAGAGAGCGCTCTGAGGGGGGGGGGCACCTGGCCTGTGGCCGGCCGAGGGGAGTACACAGCGCACCCTCAGGTAGCAGGGTGCCGCACAAGTAAACCCTGTCCCCCCTCCCTCCCCCCGCCACCTTCCCCCCTTTCACATCCTTTCCCTAACATTCCCTCACCCTTCCCAAGCTGCCATGTCTCCACCACCACCACCACCACCACCACCACCACCACTACCGTCCTCCTCCCGCCGCCATACACTCCCCTCCGTACCGTAGCAGCCCCGCCCCCCCGCCCCCCCGGGGCTCTCACCAGGAAGGGAGAATTTGCCCGTGTCCGTCTGCGGCTGCTTCATGATGTCCGCGGGCCGGCCGTCCTCATACACGATGTGACACAGCTTGGTGGCGAAGGACATGGTGTCCCGGTTGACCTTTTGGAGCAGGCCGCCGCCCATGCCGTACGACACATTGTCAGCCGCAAAGCCAGCCTCTTCGATAGCCTGGGGGTCGTAGGATTG